CATCACAAGAGGTTAGAATATAACAACAAGTTAAGCCCAAGGAACGTAGAAGAAAGGAAAAAATATATATGTGAGAATAGAAAAATCCAAAAGGTTGTTCTTTAAATAGACGAATAAAATTAACGGACTTCTAGGAATGCTAATGAAGAAAAAGAAGAGACAGGTATAATGCCAGAAATGGAATGGGGGCATTGGTAGAGATCCCACAGAAATTTAAAAGATAATAGGATATTATGAACATCGTTACACAATACATTTAAAAACAGAAAAAATTGTTAAATTCTTTGAAACATAAAAACCTGCATAGCAAGAATTAGAAAATGTGAGTCTGTAAACATTTTTTTCCAAAGAAAATTCCAGGTAATGAAGACTTTGCCTGTGAAATCTGCCAAACATTTATGGTAAAATAACATCAATCTTATTAAACTCTTCCTGGGAGTAAAAAGTGGAGTTTGTTTTATGATGCCAGTGTAACCTTGATATCAAAACCTAACAAAGATATTACATAAAGCCAGAACGTTTCTCTTGAACATTGCTGTAAAGATCCTAAACATAATATTAGTGAATTAAGTACAGTGATAAATAAAAATGACAGCAAATCACAGTCAGGTGGGTTTTATTCCAGTGCTTTTCAGTTTTTGGTTGTGTTGACTTGAATTTAGTGATACTTCATTAGTGACATTTGTAAACTTTTAAAAAATTATACAAGTTCTGGAGTGTAAAAGTACGATACGAAATACAGTTTTGCACACTTCTAAATTCTCTAACATTTTTTCAATATAGTTTTATTGAAGATTCATAATAGAATATTCAAAATATAATTTGTCCTTAACTAATTTCTTAGTGTCTAGGGGCCTATTGTATAGCTTCTATTTTGATGTGCTCCTCTGGACTTGCTTCAGTCATTTCTCTCATCACATGACCGTGTTTGTGTTGGCACTGTGTTGGGGAATGGGCTGGGTCCAAGGAGAGGCACTGCACCTTTCCACAAGAAGCCTTCCGAGGGCTTGCTCTTTTCTCCTCTAGAAAGTGATCATCCTCATGCTCCTGAGGGTGAGCCACTTAGATGAACTGGAAATCAAAATTGTTTGTTCGGTTTGCTTTCATAATTTAGCTGTTTTTTCTTTTGGTATGTGAGGGTTTTATAAGGTGGATTTTGTAATTTTTCTTTTAATATCTACTGTATTTAAAGGATAAAACAAATGTATAACGTTGTTATGTACTAAACTTAAAAAAAAAATTAAACATGGATGAAAACTGAACACAGACTGGATAGTAAATGATTTAATGTATTATTATTAACTTGATTGTTTACCATAGTGATATTGTTATATTTACCAGACATACTGAATATTTACAGGAGAAATGATAACGATGTTTAGGATTTGCTTTAAAATATTTCAGAAGAGAGCAGGGAAGGGAAAATAGGCGAAGTAAGAGAAGAAGAATATTGGTAACTTTGAAGCTGGGACTGGGGCCCTGGGGCCATTAATACTGTTTTCTCTGTATTGTGTATTTTAAAATCCTCAGGCTAAAAAGTTAAAAAATTCCCCAATTTAAACATATCTTCCCCTTAGAGATTTCAAAATTCAGATGTTTGAAGTAAAATATTACAGGTTCTGTGTAATGTTTATTTTAAAATATAATATACAAAATGTAATATAGTTACTGTATTTTTAAAAATAGTAAGTTACAAGAATGAGCATTTTGTATTTTTTTCTTTGAAATAAAATTCCTTTTTTTTTTTAGTGAATCATTTGATACTCAGAAAAAAATGCACTTTTTACAGTAATGTAGATTGTCAGAAATAAACTTCAGAAATTTGCTTATTTTATTATATTAATTTATACCACCTTTGTTGAGATACAGTTCAGGGACTCAGCTATTTGTAGTGTATTCACAGATCTGTCCAACCATAACCACAGTCAGTTATAGAACATTTTCATGATCTCAAAAAGAAATGTTTTTCAATGATTTTTTTTTGTTTTTGTATTTGACATTAAAAGCAAAGGCAACAAAAACAAAAAGTGGGTTTATGTCAAACTAGAAAATGTCTGCACGGCAAAGGAAACCATCAACAGAAAGAAAAGGTAACCTACAAAATGGGAGAAAATATTTGAAAATTATGTATCTCTTTACGGGTTAATATCTAAAAACTATAAAGAACCCATACAACTCGATAGCAAAAAACAAGCAATTTGATTAAAAATAGGTAGAGAAACTGAATAGACATTTCCCCAAAGAAGATACCCAACTGGCCACAGGTGCATGAAAAGGTGCTCAGATCACTAATCATCAGGTAAATGCTCATCAGAACCACATCACCTCTCACTTGCTGAGTGGCTGTCGTGAAGAAGATGAGAGAGCTAGCTCTGGAGACCAGGGAACCCTCCTGCACTGTGAATTGGTGTGGCCACCACAGAAACAGTGCAGAGGTTCCTCAGGAAGTCAGAGTAGAACCACCATAGCATCTGTGTCTATACCCAAAGGAAGTAAAGTCACTGTCCCAAGGAGATAGCTGTACCACCATGTTTGTTGTAGCATTACTACAATAGTCAAGGCACGGAAATAACCTAAGTGTCCATCTGTGGATGAATGGATAAAGAGATTGTGATACACAACACACACCCAACTGAATGTTATTCTGCCATAATGATGGAAATCCTGCTGTTTGTGATGATATGGTTGGACCTTGAGTGTGTTACACTTAGTGAATTAGGTCAGAGAAAGACAAATAACTATGTGGTCTGATGTATATGGAATCTAAAAACAAGGAACTCATAGAAACAGATTAGATTGGTGATTGCTGGTGGGGGCAGTGAGAGAAATGGGTGAAGGCAGTTAAAAGGTGCAGACTTCCAGTTATAAAGGAATTAAGTTTGGCATGTATAATGTACAGAGAGTAAACCTTAAGTTCTTGTCCCAAGAAAAAAATTGGTAACTGTGAGGTGATAGATGTTAACTTGTCTTGGTAATCATTTCAATTTATATGCCTATATCAAGCATGTTGTATACCTTCAACTTATACCATGTTGTGTGTCAATTATATCAGTAAAACTGGAAAGAAAAATCTCATACCCTTTACTTAACACCCTTTAATCCCACATTCCCCTGCCCTTACCGATGTCGTGTTATCGCTGTATTTCATTCGGCCCTTCTGGTGGGTGAACCTCCCTGTGGTTCAGTGTTTGTCTCTGTGATGGCCAGTGGGGCCGCATTCCTTCACGGGCCCTCTTCCGTGCCATGTCTGCTCACGTCTCTGACCCATTTCTGCTTGGGTCGTTTGTCACATGCGTTGACTTTCAAGAGTTCTCTGTATATTCTAGACCTGAGTCCTTGGTGGGATTTTTCTACCTGTTTGCTGTTCGCTTTTTCATTCTCTTCACAGAGTCTTTGCAGATGGGATGGTCTATTTCGATGTGGTCCATGAGGTCTCTTATTGGTCGTGTTCTGGTGTCAAGTCTAAGAACTTACCGTCTAGCCATAGGTTCAAAGATACGTCTTTCGTGTTTCCTAAAAGTTGTATGTCTTTTTTTATATATATTTTATTCAGTTAGAGTGGGAGGGAGGGAGGGAGGGAGAGAGAGAGAGAGAGAGAGAGAGAGAGAGAGAAACATCGACGTGAAAGGGACACTTCAAGTAGTTGCCACCCTCACAACCCAACCAGGGCCGGGGACAAACTGCAACCGAGGTACATGCCCTTAGTGGGAACCGAACCCAGGTCTCTCTGGACCGCAGGCCGATGCTCTAACCGCTGAGCCAAACCGGCCAGGGCTAAAAGTTGTATGTCTTAGTGTGGGTTTCCTAGGATTTATTTCTTAGTTTCTTGAATCTGTAGTTTTATGTCTTTCACTGAGTTTGGGAAGTTTTCAGCCATTTTTTTTTTGATACGTTTTTATTGATTTTTTAGGGAGAGAGAGATAGAAACATCAATGTAAGAAAGAAACATCTATTGGCTGCCTTCTGCCCCCTACTGGGGATCGAGTTTGCACCCCATGCATGTGCCCTGACCGGGAATCCAACCAGTAACCTCCTGGTGCACGGGATGCTGCCCAGCCCACTGAGCCACACCGCTGGGCTGCTATCCTTACTTTGTGTGTTCTGTCCAGGGTCTTAGTTGTAAGGAGCAGGACCTAGATAGAGGTGGTGGGGCTACTCCATCTGGGCCAGACCTGGAAGTCTACAGTTAGCCTGTAAAATTTAAAAATTGTGGCTCGATATAGCTCTGTACACATCTGTGCTTCAGATTGTGACTTCCTGAAACATTTTACTGGAAGATTCTTACTTACTCGGGCCACTTTGCTGTGTGACTTGGGATGCAGGCCCTTCATTTCCTCGTTTGTGTGGTGAAATACTGAATAAGAGCCTTTAATTAATCTGTAATTTTATGATCATCAAAATAGTTTTTTTTCTAAGGCAGGTATGTTGTTAGTAGTGACACAGAGGAAAGAACTTGGACTTTGGAGCTGGGCCTGTGTTTGGATTCTGGAAGATGGGGAGGCAGCTTTCACTTAGCTACTGGGACATGGACACCAGAACCATTTTGCCTCGAGTTTGGGCAAATTTCTGAACCTCTGTTTGTCTCAGTTTTCATGTTGACAGCGGGGCCAGTAGTGCTCAGAGGGTGGTTGTGAGTTCAGTGCCATTATCTGCGAAGCCCTGGAAGAGTGGAGTCACGTGGTACACACTGCACCATGTCCATGTGGATTACTACCTCCTGACGGGCTGCACGTCAGTCTTAACTAAATCTCAGTCCTGTTGTTTGTAAAACGGGTGACAACAAACATGTTTGAGGGGTGGGATTAATCCCTGCCCCACAGTGCAGTTATAGGGATTAGAGACTCTGTGTGCACACAATCACCTTGCATGATAATTAGTGTCATATTTATTTATTGCTTATACTTAATGGGAAGTAGATTGGAAATATTTTATTTTACAGGTTTTTAAGAATGTTTATCATTTAAAGATGTCTTTATCATTTTCTTTCCTCAATGACACAGAACGGAAAGATGCTGAAGGATGGGAGACTGTTCAGAGAGGAAGGCCTGTTCGTTCACGGTCAACAGTGGTGATACCAAGAGTTTCAACACAGGCATTAAGGTCAAAGGATGACAGTGACAAAGAAAATGTACGTCTGTTACCAGACGAAGGCATCCGGAAAGGAGAATTGATTGGAGACGGACCTTCCAGTTCTGTAGAAGTTCGGCCCAAAGACTCACTGCCTTCCTGTGACCACCCTCTGGCTGAAAGAACCCAGGTAGTGCTTTTTGCACATCTTTTCACTGGATCCTTACAAGGGGTGTGTGCTGGGACGTCTCATTTTTCTCCTTTATTTTTAACCTTTTATTGTGAAAATTTTCAAATCTACAGAAAAGCTGCGAGAATAGAATAATGAACTGTCCTGTACCCTTTACCAAGTTTCGTAGGTTAGCTTTTTGCCACATTTTTTCTGTCTGTATTTACATGTCACACAAACACATTGTCTGCTAGACAGGTGAGAATATGCACACATCATAGCCATTCACCTTCAAATACTACAGCATGTATCTCCAAAGAAAGCAAACTTACGTGACTACGTTATGGTTATAAAATTGACGGAATTTGACAGTAATATATGATTACCTAACCTGTCAATATTCAAAATTTTCCAGTTGTCCCAGTAATTTCTTAATTAAAAAAATTTTTTCTTTATTGATTTCAGAGAGAGAAGAAGGGAGAGGGAGAGAGAACATCGATTCGCCTCCTGCCTGCCCCCCACTGGGGATTGGGCCCACAACCTTGGGCATGTGCCCTGACTGGGAATTGAACCGGCGACCTCTTGGTGCATGGGTTGACACTCAATCACTGAGCCACACCGGCCAGGCCTATACCTTGTGAAGTGATCCCCAGATTCCAGCACCCACCTGCACCACAGTCATCACAGTGTCACTGACTGTCCTATGCTGCACCCTCACCCTGCGGCTGTCAGACACATGGGGAGGGGTCGGCAGTGGGCCCAGGTGTGGTGTGGACATCCATGGCTTGGGTGCAGCGGTGCCCTCCTGTCTTTTTGGCTGGCTGACATGCTGAGGAAAGTCAGGATTGTCTTCAACCTGCTCTACTTGTAATGCCTGCATTTCAGATGTACAGTACTTTGCTAATATTTAATATAGTACTTCTTTAAAAGTAATAATTCCAGTGTTTCATGTTAGCCCATCTGAATTGTATTTTACATACTCGATGAAGGAATGCATTTTTTAGATATTTGTTTTCATAGAGATTCATGCTCAATGAGTATAATTCTATGTAAAATGAATAATGAGATATAAGAGGTATTCTTTGATATACAGGAGCTAAGTAAAAAAGTTGTAGACTGCCCTGGCCAGTGTGACTCAGCAGTAGAGTGTTGGCTTGCATACCAAAGAGTCGCGGTTCGATTCCGGCCAAGGGCACATGCCTTGGGTTACGGTTCATCCCCGGCCCTTGTTGGGTTGTGCGGGAGACAACCAGTAGATGTGTCTCTTTCATGTCGATGTTTCTCTCTCTCTCTCTCCTCCTCACATTCTATCTGAAGATAAATGGAAAAATATCTTTGGGTAAGGATAAAAAAAACAAAAAAACAAAAAAAAGTTGTAAAGTAGTAGTGATATTTCTGTCTAGAATGGCATCTTTTTAAAATTGTCTCCTTTTCCCAGTAGGGTGTTTATTTTGATTGGAAACAGTACTCAGCTTCCATGTTTTTTTCTTGACGATCGTGGCTCTTGGTCCCACATTGTTCGGATGCTCTGTGATTCTCTCATGGGTGTGTGGTTTAGTCCACGAGAGACCGGAAGCTCCTTGCAGGCAGTGTCTTGGGTTACCTTCTAATCCCACACTGCGGAGCCCAGGTACTTAGGAAATCATCGGCAGGTATTTGTTGGATGTACCTTTGAGAAACTTTTTAATGTAGGTAAACGTGGCAAAGAAATTACTTTCTATATCACTTAACAAACATCTAGCACTTTTGCTAATGCCCATGTTAACTATAAAATTTAACAATACAGTATAGAAATTTTGCTGGTTTTGTATAATGAATAAACTGATACGATTTTGGGATTTTAGGGATAATCCATACATAGGACTTTTGAGTAATTAAACTGTTGTTGAAATATTTCAGTATGAAAGTTCACTGCTGATAGTGGACAAGCTAACCATAATTGTTTTCTCCACTGTCATTCTAAAAATGAAATGAGCATATTTTTATATTTTTTTCAACATTACTTTATAGTGGGCTTTCAGTTTGTTTTATAAATGATACTGATTTTTTAGTAAATAAGGTTGACTGCATTATAAGCATCAGTAATGCTAATATAAATATTGTCAAGAAGGTTATAAACCATGGTGACTGATGTATAGATAATGTTGATAGCAGTATAAACATGTGATACAATTTAAATAATGCTTATGCTAAAATCAACACTTTGGGACACTTTAAGTTCTGACCAATAGAATTTTTAAAGTAGTTTATAAGACTTGGCCAAGTTTAATATTTATATAAATAATTAATCAAACTTGGGGTTTTATGGCCACTGCAGTATTTATCTAATGTTTATTTAAGTAGTGATGTGAGTTTTGAATTCAGAATTTTAAATTTCAGTCTATGTGGAGCTCATTTCTCTTGAGTGTAATTGGAAAACAGCAGAATTTTTTCTCTACTCTGAAGGTGAAAATAAAGGCTTCTTTCTAGTCACTGAAATAGACAGGTTTTAAGAAATGAGTATGTACTTGGCCTCATCCAACTGTGTTTTTGTTTAGACTGTTTTCACATTGTGTTGGCCGTGTGCTGAGTGTTCTTGCAGGGGAGTGGGAGGCTGTGGACGTGCAGAGAAGGTGAAGGCATGTGAGACCGTGTGCTTAGACGGACTGGGCTGTTTTATGCTATCTTTCTCTCGGTCTGAGATTGGTATCGTGTACTATGTTGGGCCTTCATGGAAGATGCTTAGAGGATGTTGTGATGTTATCGAAAGAGAGCATGCCTCATATTTTTTACTACAGTGCCCTCAAAGTATGTTTTGGTGAAAAGTGCCTTTATTTGATAATTGACAGTCTTCACAAAACCGTGTGGATACCTGTAGTTATTTGAAAGTAAGACAGAACATTGTACTTGTGACTAGATTTCTTCTGTGAGGCATGTCTCTGCGTCCTGCGCAGGCTGGGGAAGTCGACGATGGCTGCAGCATCTGTCACTCTATCTCAGTGCACGCAGACAGCTCCTTTGCAGGCAGGTGCAAGTAAGACGTGTGGCTGCTGGCCCACTGTTTCTACTCTCGAGACATACGAAACAGACCAGTGGCCCGGCCCGTGTGGCTCAGTGGACTGAGCATTGCCCCATGGGCTGAGAGGTCTCGGTTTGGTTCCCAGTCAGGGCACATGCCCAGGTTGTCAGTTTGATCCCTGGTGGGGGCGTGCAGGAGGCAGCTGATAGATGTTTCTCTCTCTAAAGAATAAATCAGCCCTGGCAGGTTTGGCTCAGTAGTTAGAGTGTCAGCCTGTAGACCAAAGAGTCTTGGGTTTGATTCCGGTCAAGGGCATATGCCTCGGTTGCCGTTTGGTCCTGGCCCTGGTCAGGGTTGTGCGGGAGTCAACCAGTTGATATGTCTCTCACATCGGTGTTTCTCTCTCTCTACCCCTCCCTCCCACTCTATCTGAAAATAAATGGAAAAATATCCTTGGGTGAGGATTTAAAAAAAATCAACAAAAACGTATTAAAAAAAAAGTGAATATTCTGCCAGCCAGGTAACAGCTGCTTCACAGTTGATAGGTTTAGCTGAATCCGCTTTTCTCAAGTGTAGCAGTTAGTGTATTTTATTATCTCTGACTCATTCTGTAAATATATTTTGCTAGTTCACATCGAGTACATTGGATGACACCAAGAACTCTGGCAGTAGTATCTCACAAGACAGTTCTGTGCGAAGTTCTGAAATGCCTGCTGTTCACGTGGACACAGAGTGTGTCTTAGTTACTCCGCGAGATGACACACCTCCTCTGCACCCCGATGAAGAACGGTTTTCTGTGGAGAAAGCAAGGACAGAGAGTGACATGGACTCTTCAGACATTTCAAATGTGAGTGCTGCTAACCTGGTAAGAGCAACTTAAAGAAGTCTCAGTACATATATTAAAGCAGTACCTATTATTGAGGCATAGACCTCAATACTAATAAATTGTCATTGTGTATTTATACTTTACAGAGCTTTTTTTTTTTTTTTTTTTTTACAAAGTATTCTGTGTAGTCTTTTAACATTTTATTCTTATCAACCTTTTGAATATGGTTAAGATTCTTCTTTTGTAGAGGGAGAAAATGAGACTGTGAGAGTTAAATAACTTACTCAAAATCATTTAATCTGTTATGTGCTTTGATCCAGTGCTTTTATTTTATTTTTTTAAATATTTTTTCTTTATTGATTTTGGAGAGAGAGAGAGAGAAACATCAATGAGAGAGAACATCATTTGGCCACCTCCTGCATGCCCCCCACTGGGGATCGGGCCCACAACCTGGGCATGTGCCCTGACCAGGAATCAAACTGGCGATCTCGTTGGTGCAGGGTTGATGCTCAGCCAGTGAGCCACACTGGCCAGGCTGATCTGGTGCTTTAGCCCAGCATTAAGAAACGGAGCCAAGCCCTGGCCGGTTTGGCTCAGCGGTTAGAGCGTCGGCCTGCAGTCCTGAGAGACCCGGGTTCGGTTCCCGCTAGGGGCGCGTACCTCGGTTGCAGTTTGTCCCCGGCCCTGGTTGGTCGTGCGGGTGGCAGCCACTCGATGTGTTCCTTTCACATCGATGTTTCTCTCTCTCTCTCTCCGTTCCTCTCTCTCCCTCCCACTCTATCTGAACAAAATATGGAAAAGTGTCCTCGGTGAGGATAAAAAACAAAACAAAAAAAGAAACGGAGCCAGTAGCGGGCCTCCCGTGCAGGTACAGCTGATGGGAAATGGCCGGTGGGAAATGCTGTCTACTGGCCTTAGTGCTAAGCATTCCCATCACGGTGCTGCAGACGGCTGCTTGGAGCTGGTGTTCAAGATGGAATTTATGTGCCATCCCCATTGTAGATTCTTTGAACATGTGTTGATTTGTGATTGTTTATAGGTTTATATTTTTTGGAAGAGTACTTATTTCTGTTCACGTCTTCCTATTTTCTACTCTTCAGTATTAAGATACTTGACCTGAGGATAATCTAGAATAGGTCATGCTAGTTTTGTTTCAAAAGTAACTTTCAGCCCTGGCTGGTTTGGCTCAGCGATTGGAGCATCAGCCTGCAGACCAAACAGTTGCGGGCTCAATTCTGGTCAAGGGCACGTACCTGGTTGCGGTTCGGTCCCCAGCCCTGGTTGCGTTGTGCGGGAGGCAGCCAGTCAATGTGTCTCTCTCACGTCAGTGTTTCTCTCTCTCTCTCCCCCACCTCTCTCTTTCCCACTCTATCTGAAGATGAATGGGAAAAAAGTATCCTCTGGTGAGGATAAAAAAAAAAAAGTAAGTTTCAGAAGAAATAGGCACATATAAGAAGTTGTTGAGAAAAATTATTCAAATTTGGTTTTCTCTATGGCCATCATATACTGTAATTTTTTCAAAACTGGGTGCCTTGTCACACCAAAGGCGCTGCAGCTGGTGCGGCAGTCAGACCGCACTTATGGTGGGGTACCCTGGGCGGGGCCGTGGCTGCGGGAGAGGGGTCCAGGGCATGGAGAGTGGACGCCTGGACCCTACAGGGAGGGATGGAGAGCAGTTGGTCTTTTGACTTAGGTGTTGTAGTGAGTGTTTTTAAAGGTTGAACATCATTATTCATATGAGTAGTGGATTTAATATATGGGGTAGAAATGGGTCATACTTATGTTTTTTTTTCATAGCTAGATATATTAAATTATTTATTTTGCAAATTGATTCTGTGAGAATCACATTTCAAAAGAGAATAAAGGTGCCATAGTTAAATAAGCATACAGGTAAAAATTCTTCTCTCCTCATTTTTATATTGATCACATATATAAATAAGTTTGGTAGAATAATGAAAATCCTTGGTTATTTTGAGGATCAAATATACATACTTGAAGGAAAGTAAGTTCTGCTTTAAATATGAATATTAGCATATCTTAGAGGTCTTAGAGGAATTTTGGGTCAAGATTTTAATATATTTTTATTTGTCTTGTCAGAGATACTTCTATGGGTGTGTCTAGATAAGCAGCTCATGTTTCAGGTTCTATGTGGAGGTACAGCGATGAGAGAACGGTTTTCTCTCTCGGTACAGTGTTGTCATATACATAGCTGGTTAAAGTAACAAAAACCTTAGTTCTCTTATTTAACAGAAACTTAAGCAAAAAATGACTGTGAGACCCTTTCTGTTTAAAAGTCATCTATTGCCAACACTGTAAAATGTGCTGATAGAAAACAGCTACCGTGGATCTGCTGTACAGATTCACTGAAGTCTCATTGTCACTGAAAACTCAGAAGAGGTGATGATGTAAACACATGGACTCTTGTCTGAACTCCCCGAACCCCTTTGCACTCCCCAGGGAGAGTCCTGTGTCCGGGGGTAAGAGCAGAGGGGGTGGGAAGGAGGGGGAGCTTTCAGGAAGGAGACAGTGCCTGGTCCACTCCAGACCAGTTCACGTGGGAATGTCTGCCGTGCCTTGTGGCCTCTTCCTGGCCATCTTTTCTGCTGTCACTGGGTATTAATTGGCATTTCAGAACTTTATGTAAGTGGAGTAGTGTGATCTCTGTGTGCTTCTGTCTCTCAGCATAAAGATCATGCGTTTCATCCATGTGGTTATGCATGTTTGTTCATTCTTTCCATTGTCTTCGGGCCTGTTCTGTCATGTGCAGCACAGTGTGTTCATCCGTTCAGTGGATGGCGTGTTTGAGGTCTTTCCAGGTTCTCTGTTATGAGCAAAGGCTCCATGAACATTTGTCTTTGTTTTAAACACATATTTTCATTCCTCTTGGGAAAACAGCGAGGTCAGTTTTGTTGATGATATTGTCCAGGTCTCCTCTCTCTGTGCCCATTTTGGTACTTTGTCAGTCAACCAAGGGACATGGAAATACCTGGATATAACTGGACTCTATTTGTGTATGTAATTAGCCTACTATAGGGATGTATAAATGAACGATTATGATGTATATTATTTGTAATACTTACAATGCATATATCTAACTTAGGTATCATCACCATTACTGCATATATTATTTCTGTGTTCCCTTTATAGTGTAATGCTTTTCTTTTGTTTTTAATATATTTGATCTATAACTTTAATTTTTTGCACGCAAATGAAAGGGACACCGTCATTAATAATAATACCTGTTATTTATACAACTTCACAGTTTCTCATGCACAGCAGTCTGGTGAAAAGGTAAGTCATGGATTACTGCACCATCTTATGGAATACAGAGTAGGCTCTTGGCTTTAAGAAACTTCCAGGTTACACAGCTAGTGAGTGGTTGAATCTGTACTGGACCCCAGCTTTTATAACTCTGGAACAAGGCTATCTTACGTATTCTGTTGAGTATGTGATCAGAATATAAAGAATGAGATGATTACTTAACTTTTCAGTCAGGTGATGATTCTTCGTTCTGTTTGTTTCTAACTCTACAGTCCATGGCAGAGGTTCTTGCTAAGAAGGAGGAGCTAGCAGATCGCCTGGAAAGGGCCAATGAGGAGGCCATCGCCAGTGCTATTGCCGAAGAGGAGCAGCTAACTAGAGAGATCGAAGCTGAAGAAAACAATGATATTAATATCGAAACTGACAACGACAGTGATTTTTCTGTGAGTCTTTAGAATTTTTTACTTAATTGTTCCAAAAATATATATTCAGAAATAAAATTCTTAGGGCCAGAAGGACCTAGAGTTCATCCTATTTAAAATTTCTTTAAAAACTTACGTGTAATAATGGTATCATTCTGTGTGATTGAGACACTCGATAAATAACAGCAGCCCTTCCTTGAGCACTTCATGTTACTAAGAGTTTCTACTGTAATGCAGTTGGCACGTTAGAAGTTGTTATTTTCCTTTTACAAGTTAAGAAATTGAATCTCAGAAAGTAAGAAGTCAGCATTACTTAGATTGTGATTGTAGAGACTGAGCAAGAGTCCACGGCATTTCGCTGTTTTAATTGTAATAAAAAGCAAACAGCACATCACCTTGCTATCGCTCAAGATACCTGTGTTGACGAGAGGTTTCTCAAAGAGTGAGAATAACTGTGAGTGTTTCAGATATGTTCTGTTAAACCTTAATGCCCAACAGGTAACCTAGATCTCTCCTGAGGTGTGCGTGAATATGTCAGTACTCGCGTAGCCCTGGCGTACAGTGTCCTCATGGCATGCAGCATTAGAGTAGACTGATGGTACAGGCCCATGCATTCCCTTTAAATGTACTTGACTTGTGTTTGCTATTCAATGGCAAACAGGCCTGTCTTCCTCTTAACATGTTCAGACTGGTATTTTCAGCTTGGTGGTTATTGTGACCACCAGGGGGTATGTCACTGAATTCTAGTTTTGAACTACCTGTTATATGAAATGTACTAGCATCAGGTAGGAAAATTTCACATATAGTTAATTGTTTAAGCTTATAATTGTGTTTAAATATTTGGTTTTGAATTTTCCTTATTACCTTTTAGACCAGCATGGGCAGTGGAAATGTATTTTTCTGTGGTATGTCTATGGACTGGAGCGATGTCCTAGCAGATTATGAAGGTAATGTTTGTGTGTGTGTGTGTGTGTGTGTGTGTGTGTGTGTGTGCTCGCGCGCGCACGCGCAGGCAGAAGGGCATGAAATAGATAATCTCATTACACGAGTTCTATGTAAAATGCATGGTTTGGAGTGGGAATGCTGATACCTTTTAAAAGTCTGCTCTCGGTTGTTAGTTTGATAGAACCATGTGGTTAAACAGTAATGGTGGTTTTCTCTTCGATGAACAGCTCGAGAGTCCTGGCGCCAGAACACATCCTGGGGGGACATCGTGGAGGAGGAGCCCGCGCGGCCTCCTGGACATGGGATTCACATGCACGAGAAGCTTTCCTCCCCCTCTCGTAAGAGGTCTGCTCCGAAAATCTGTTTAAAATGCTTCACAGGAGGGAAAGTGGCCACTTTTGACTGTTAAATAGAGTTGCTACATAGCATTAAGGCACGTTATTCAGGACAGTTCAGATCCACCGTAAAGGGACAGTCTGTACCTGGAATGTTGGGCCAAAATGAGTTTTATGTGCTTTTATATTAATTTTTAGAACTTTGAAGACTAAAGAAAGTTATTTTGGTTGTATCATGCACACATTCGTGTCCTGTTCATTTGCTTGTATTAATAGGACAATTGCAGAGTCTAAGAAGAAACATGAAGAGAAACAAATGAAGGCACAGCAGCTGAGGGAAAAGTTACGTGAAGAGAAAACATTGAAGCTTCAGAAATTGCTAGAAAGGGTGAGTTTTTAAATTTAGGGAACTATAATAGCCTTAAATCGATGGGCTTATTGAATTTTCCTCCTGGCAGAGAAGCTGAGGGAACTGTAAAAGCAGTGACACATTCTGGGAAACAGAGCTTTTGTGTCTGTTGACTCGCAGGAGGTTGGGTGTGATGAAAAGGTCTGTCATTCCTAACTTCGCGGGTGTGTTCTTGTTTCTGGTGTTGGCTTGTGGAAGCCGAAGTCTGTCTTTGGCAATTTTCACTGCAGGGTTTCCTTGGGGAGTCTTGTGCAAGGTGCAGAAGGACTTGGTAGGACAGTTCTGAGCCTCCCAGTATCAGATTTGTAGACGAGATTCTCAGAGCGTTTGCGGCAGTGGAAGGAACGTGGACCCTAGACCAGCCTGGCCTCATCCTGGTTTTGCTACCTAATAAGATACAATGCCGAGGGCAAGTTACTTTAACAGCACTGATTTCAGTTTCCTTATCTGTAAAATGACAATCACAACCATCAACCTGTTGCGATGACTAAACGTGGCAAGTGTGTAGAACAGGAGCACGCTTCTGGGACGCTGTTGCTGCGGCTCAGCGGTGGCCACATTGTTGCTACCTGCTTGTGACGACAGGCGAGTGCTGTGAGTGTGAGTCTGTGCGACCCGACTCCACACTTGGCAGCTGACATTCATTGGGTCACCGTTTCTGTGGGCTTGGGCGTGGCGCTCTCGTGATTTTTGTTCAGAGTCTCTCAGGAGGCGTAGCCAAGCCGTGGGCCCCGCAGCCGTCCCTGGGGCTTACAGATCCACTTGCAGACGCACTCAGAGTTGCTGCAGGCCTTGGGTTCGTGCCATGAGGGCCTTTCTTTGTGACATGGCCGCTAGCTCTCCTGGAAGTCCTAGAGGAGAGGAAGAAAGAGCAAGTGAGCTGCTCGAATGGAGCCACTGCCCTCAGAAGCGGTGTGCTGTGTCCTGTGGGTCACACTTCTGACACAGTGGGGGGTGGCTGGAGTCGGGAGTCGCCCTGGGGCTAGCAGCCAGAGCAGTGTGACAAAGATACGTGCCCTTCACCTCCATGTCACCTCTGGGGCCTGGAACGGGTGATGGTGTGCCTGGGTAAATGTGTTGTTAGCATCACTTACAGCACCTACTTGAAATCTGGGGGAGGACTGGGCCAGAGCTCCTAGCATTCGTAGAGCTGAGGCAGGCAGGCTCTCAGCGCAGCAGAGTTGACTGGGCAAGGAAGGTGACTGCTGCCGTTTCTCTGCCCGAATCTCAAGAGTGTGCCATGGCTTCTATTTTAATCATTAGAATGAGTAAGTCAAATAGAAAAATAGTCTCCACCTTGGGCTTTTCTAAAAGAGTTCATATATTAGTTCATTTTCAGCTTTAGAGAAATGCTCTAACCACCATAGTATATCCCCTCTCACTGTGGTTTTAATACAAGTGAAGTGACAGTTTATTTTCTCACTGTGATATAACCTCCAATTATTTGGTGATCAGGTCTAGAAATTGTGCAGAGAGGTTCTCTGGTTTAATTTTCCCATCCATTTAGCTACCTCTTCTATTAATTTTAGTGGTAAGTCCCACCTTGCATGTGCATAATGAGTATGGTTTCAGCACTGTGTTGCCTACGTGGTCTCACCTGGCCACCACGGTCACTGTGAGGCACAGAGCTGAACCATTTCTGAGCCCATCTGACAGGTGGAACACTGAATGCAGGAGAGGCTAAGTGCTGTCCCCAGTGCCACCACCTTCTTAGGGCCTTAAGGACCTGTCCTAACTCTGATATGCGCTATTCACGCGTCATATTATTCTAGGTGCTTCAACACATAGCTGTGTTGCTACAATTCAACAGAAATGTTAGTTTCTATTCCACTCACTTTGAGCCAACGTCTGATTTTCTATCATTGAATCTCATTGGTGCTGGATTTGATTTCCTGGAGCATAGAAGTAGTCTTTTACCTCTTTGATTTTATTTTAAGGAATTAGAAGCAACTATTCTATCTTTGTTCTTTTTATGAAAATAAATGTAGTTTTTCAGACTTCTCACCATTTTCCACCCTCCAGGGTGGAATTACTGAATTGTCCTGAGTGTGGTGAGTGAAGACGTTAGGTCTGTAAGGCTACCACGTACACACTGTTCTCATCTAAGTGGCTCAGTGCAGTGTGATGCGACAGCAGCCATTGCTGTGGCGCCAGGTCCGGTGCGCTCTTCCGAGTTGTACTGGGTGACTCGGTCTTGAACACAAGCCAGTAAGCTGCAGTGTGAGCTCAGCAGTCTGCTCCGTTGACTCTCCCCACACACGTCAGAGCTGCTCACCAGTATGCATGTCCGATGCACGGCTGTGTGTGTTGACAGTAACCATGTGGTGACTCACTACATGCAGGAAAAAGATGTCCGGAAGTGGAAGGAGGAGCTGCTGGACCAGCGGCGCAGGATGATGGAGGAGAAGCTGCTTCATGCTGAGTTCAAACGAGAAGTGCAGCTACAAGCAATTGTTAAAAAAGCCCAAGAGGAAGAAGCTAAGGTGGGTATGTCTTAGGTGCTTTGAACATTGAACTAGTTACCCAAGGCTTTTCTGCAATTGTTATATAAGAAGCTAATGTTTTGTTTTGTTTTTTAAATATATTTTTATTGATTTTTGAGAAAGAAAGGGAGAGGGGGAGAGAGAGAGAGATATTGATGAGAGAGAAGCATCAACATTGATCGACTGCCTCCTGCATGCCCCCCACCAGGGATGTAGCCCACAACCCTCCTGGTGCATGGTCGATGCTCAGCCACTGAGCCACACCATTTGGGCAGAAGCTAATGTCTATTCTGTTCAGAATAACAGAGCATTTTCACAGGTTCATTTAAAGCTTATTACAGGTACAGTATCTTATCTTTGCAATAATCCTCTGATACTTAGATATAGGTATTTACAGCTTTTCTGAGGTGTAACTGACAGACAATAGTAAGAGGTAGCCCTGGCCAGTTTGGCTCAGCGGTTGGAACGTCGGCCTGCGGATCAGAGAGTCCCGGGTTTGGTTCCTGCTAGGAGCATGTACCAAAAAAAAAAACAACCAAATAAAGACATCAATATGGAATTCATGGGGGGAGGGGAAAGCTTAAAAATAAAACAAAAACAAATGCCCTGGCCGGTTTGGCTCAGCGGTTGGAGCGTCGGCCTGCGGTCCAGAGAGACCCGGGTTCAGTTCCCGCTAAGGGCACGTACCTCGGTTGCAGTTTGTCCCCGGCCCTGGTTGGGTCGTGCGAGTGGCAGCCACTCGATGTGTCCCTTTCATATCAATGTTTCTCTCTCTCTCTCTGTTCCTCTCTCTCCTTCCCACTCTATCTGAACAAAAAATGGAAAAATGTCCTCGGGTGAGGATAAAAAAACAAACAAACAAAAATAGTAAGAGGTAAGGCCTCCGTCTGATGAGTTTGACGTGTGTGTTCCTGCAGCTGTCAGCGTCCTGAAGGTCGCGAGCAGCTCCGGCACCCCCAGACGCTTTTTCGTGCGTCCTTGCACTCTGTTCCTTCCTCCCACTGTTTCCATGAAATTTCTTTTCTGCTTTTTTGTCACTGGAGCTGCTGACATTGTCTGGAATTTCATATGAATGGAGTCATACAGGCGTGCTCTTTCCTCTGGGCTTCTCCCTCCACACAGCTGCTTCAGTCTCAGCCTTGCTATGTGTCGTTCACTGTCCCATCGCTGAGGGCACGCCCGCAGGGTGGCACCCCTGAGGTCTGTCCATTCGGTCACGTGTGCATGGACATTTGTGTTCAGCTGTAGCTGCGCTGGACGTGCACGTGCAACTCTTCATGCAGATGTGCGCTTTTGTTTTCTCGAGTAAATACCTGAGAATGGGTTGGCAGAGTCTTATGATGGGTTCATGTTTAACTTTTTTTTCTTTATTGATTTTAGAGAGAGAGGAAGGGAGAGGGAGAGAGAGGTAGAAACATCGATGAGAGAGAACATCAACTGGCCGCCTTCTACATGCCCCCCACTGGGGATCGGGCCCACAACCTGGGCATATGTCCTGATCAGGAATCAAACCAGTGACCTCCTGGTGCATGGGTCGATGCTCAACCACTGACCCACACCAGCCAGGCTAACTTTTCTTTCTTAGTCCTAATCCCAAGGATATGTTTATTGATTTGAGAGAGAGAAACATCGAAGTGAGAGGGACACATCAACTGGTTGCCTCCCACACAACACAACTAGGGCTGGGGACGAACTGCTACTGAGGCATGTGCCCTTGACCACAATTGAACCCACAACTCTTTGGTCCGAGGGCCAACACTCTAACCGCTGAGCCATACCTGCCAGGGCTAGTTCAGTACCTTGTACCTAATTGTCACTCAGTCAGTATATGTTAAAGAAGAATGACTTGTGCCCTGGCCGGTTTGGCTCAGCGGTTAGAGCGTAGGCCTGCGGTCTGGAGAGACCCGGGTTCGGTTCCCGCTAAGGGCACGTACCTCGGTTGCAGTTTGTCCCCGGCCCTGGTTGGTCGTGCGGGTGGCAGCCACTCGATGTGTTTCTTTCACATCGATGTTTCTCTCTCTCTCTGTTCCTCTCTCTCCCTCCCACTCTACCTGAACAAAAAAAATGGAAAAATGTCCTCGGGTGAGGATAAAAAAATAAAAAAATAAATAAAAAAAAAAGAAGAATGACTTGTTAGTTAAGGTTTGTTTAAACTCATTAGAATAACATGTATGTACCTCTTTAAATCTTAATGTGCATGTGTACATTGCAGATTATGGTGATATTGTGTCGAACTTGATAAGATGGTCTCTGGGAATCCTAATTTATTTCTTGACTTAAAAATTTTTTCTGTGGCAGACTTATTTATTCTAAATCAGTTCTTACTAAGGCCTGTGGATTATCTTAAAAGTGGATTATTATCCATGTTTGAGGAAAGTGTAGAAATAAAATATTCATAAACCATTAATTTTTTTTGTTTTATGCCTTACCACTGGTTTATGTTCTACTATAAAGACTGTTAAGTTTATTTTTGTGGTATTTTTAGAATTAACTTGATTTGAAATTCACTGTTTTGTTTCTACTGAAGGTAAATGAGATCGCCTTCATCAACACCCTGGAAGCTCAGAATAAACGCCATGACGTTCTATCGAAGTTGAAGGAATATGAGCAGAGGCTTAACGAGTTACAGGAGGAGCGTCAGCGGAGACAGGAAGAGAAGCAGGCCCGTGATGAAGCTGTTCAGGTAGGACTGGGTGGGGCACTACGGAGCGCCTGCCAGACCCTGGGCATGAAGACGGGCGCTGCATTCTTTCCTCAGCCGCGATGAACGCGTCGTGGCCAGGAAGCAAAGCACCTCGAAGTGTACCTAGGGACAAACCAGGGACCTGTTTGCTTTGAATACATGTGTTTATGTTAGAGCTACATCTCCTTCCATCACTGTTATTTCACACGTAATTCTAACATTTTTTAAAACGTTTCTGATATAGGAGCGTAAGAGAGCACTGGAGGCAGAGCGGCAGGCCCGCGTGGAAGAACTGCTGATGAGGAGGAAAGAGCAGGAAGCGCGCATCGAGCAGCATCGGCAGGAAAAGGAGAGAGCCCGGGAGGACGCGGCCAGGGAGAGAGCCAGGTACCTCCCGTGTGACTGGGTTCTGGTCCTGACAGACATGTCGCTGTAGGCGGATGAGCAAATCAAGTCTCAGAATAAAGCCATTGCTGTCGTGTTGAAGAAGTTATTCCAAATACAGAAACGTACTAAATTTGGTTTCCAGGCATTATGACATCATACTAAGATGAAAACGTTTTGAACATTTCTGTTTGATGGGAAACATATTTCAAGATTTTTTTTTTGGTTGCAAGAAATAGAGTTTGATTCTGGCTTGCTTACTAAGGAAAGGGAATTTTTAGGCACATATTGGGACCATAAGTGGGAGGAGGTTAATGGACCTGGCCTGGAGTGGTCAGGCATCAAAGGCCAGGCCACAGGGGCTCAGCAGTGGTTTTTTGGTGGAAACACTCTGGTCAGCATATTGTCACTCTGATATGATAAATGACCTTTAGCCATCCCTTCATTTTAAAATCACTTGTTTAAGATGTAAAGACCTAGGGAAAGGTATTTGATTGGCCAAGCCTGAAGTCCCTTTTGGTTGGTGTATACCTTGCTGGTGTAATTTTTTTTTTCATTATTTACTTTAGAGAGAACAAGGGGGAGAGAGATAGAAACATTGATGAGAGAGAACATTGATTGGCCACCTCCTGCATGCCACCCACTGGGGATCATGCCCACAACCTGGGCATGTGCCCTGACCGGGAATCGATCCGACAACCTCTTGGTGCAAGGTCGACGCTCAACCACTGAGCCACACTACCTGGGCAAAATTAAACTTTTGGAATACATAGGCCTATGAAGCCTAATCGTAGTCTCTAATCATGCGGTGTGTTCCTTGCTATTCTCCCAGGGACAGGGAAGAGCGGCTGGCCGCCCTCACTGCCGCTCAGCAGGAGGCCATGGAGGAGCTGCAGAAAAAGATCCAGCTCAAGGTGGGGGATTCTTCTCGGTGCAATATCCGAGCTAGCCGGGGGCGCGCAAGATTGGAGTTGTATTGACTGGATTCATTTCTATTTCTAATTCTTGATAATAAGACATCACACCGGCCCAACAGTCTAAAAGCTAAACTTCAGTGCGGTAGAGGAAACGATGGTTAACACAATGAAATGCATTTCAACACGTGTGTTCTTACTGAGCACTGGTTATTGTAACCGTTCACTTGATGTAGCCTCAGGAACTGCACGTTGTAGCTTGGAGATGATGACACTGATTTTGTTCTAGAAGCTTCACCGTCCGCACGGCAGTTTCCAGCAGGGTGAATCCTTCAGGTCATGTCTCAGTCACTTCCATGTGGGCTCCTTATACACAGCAAGCTCTGTGTGAGAGAGCCCACATTCCAGTTGTGGTCCTGGAACCCCGTTTAAACACGATACGGTCTGTGTTTGTTGAGCCTTGTGTAGGCGTGGGGATAGAGATGAGTAAGACATGGTTCTCAGTTTCGGAAAACTCCTACTCCAAATGCTAAGCAGACAACTTCCCTGTGGATAAAGGTTTGCACAGAATGCTTGGGGGGCACTTAGGTGGCCGTGAAGGGTGTCAGGGAAGTGCTTTCAGAGAAAATTCCTGATCTGAACCCTAAAAGGAAGATGAGTTATTTTAGGGTGGGATGCCACTCAGCCGTAGGGAATAGTGTGAGCGGAAGTCGGAGATGGTGTTTGTGACTTGTTTGGTTTTTGTTCTCTGGGAAGTCACTGGAGGTGCAGGGCCGCTGGGAATGCCGTTGGTGTGGGTAGGTCTGCGTCCTGACGGCCCTGTGTGCTGGGAAGATGAACTGGGACTGTATCTGTGGGTCACCATTTCCCACGGTGTGTTCCCAGAAGTGCTTCTCAAAGGTGTGCCATGTGTGATGAGTGTGCACAATGCGTAATGTAAGAGAGTCATAGCTCATGCACAGTGTATACTACAGGCTATATAAGGTTTACATTTTAAAAACCTTTTTAGCTTTCAGGAAGTATTTTTTTTCTTTATTGATTTTAGAGACAGAGGAAGGGAGAGGGAGAGAGAGAGAAACATCGATGAGAGAGAACATTGATTGGCCACCTCCTGCATGCCCCCCACTGGGATCAGGCCCACAACCTGGGCATGTGCCCTGACCGGGAATCGAACTGGCAACTTCTTGGTGCAGGGTCAACGCTCAAACACTTAGCCACATCGGCTGGGCTCACTTAGTAGTTTCCGAATGCATTGGACCATGGAGCCTCCTCCACAGGCATTCACTGATAGCCCGTGGTGTAGCTCCTGGGCGCACTCTCTAGGAAACGTGACTGTACGTGCAAGAGATACCAAAGGCTTCATGTATGTTCTTGTCCTCAGTGTTCCGGTTAACACTGGATGAAGACATTCCCCTATTATTTCGGAAGGTTTAATGGGAATATTTTATCAAGTTACCAGTATAATTGGGATACCGTTTGATATCTCGCACTCTGACTTCACCCACAGCACGATGAAAGCATCCGAAGGCACATGGAACAGATGGAGCAAAGAAAAGAGAAAGCTGCAGAGTTCAGCAGTGGACGGCACGCCAACACGGACTATGCCCCTAAGCTGACCCCTTACGAGAGGAAGAAGCAGTGTTCTCTGTGCGGTGTCCTGGTGGGTTGTCACTGTCAAAACGGTGAAGACACAATTCATTACCAGAGTTTATTAAGCTATGAAAATATACCCTCCCTGTTTTTAAAACTCACACTGAGGCCTCTGCTGAGTACCATGGACTCCTTTCCTGGTTTCCATGTGAAGTGAGCAGTGCAGGGTGGTGTCAGCGCTGAGGTGTGGAGTGCCAGGCACAGGAGCACACCTGCTGGCACAGCCTGCACCCATCAGTGCCCACGCAGGGAGGGCCGTCTGTGCACTGGGGCTCGAGCCTCCACGTCGCAGGATGGCGTCCTCTTGAGGCTGGCTTACTGGCCTGCCGCTTTGACCATGTCTGTCCCAGAGGATTCTCAGCACTGCCTCTGAAGAAACTGTAAGCAGATGCAGAGTGGTGTCAGCCTGCGTCCCGTGCGCTGGGCTGAGGGGACATGCGTCAGGCGTGGCCTGTGCTGAGGGCGCTGCTCTGACTGCTTTCAGATCTCTTCGGAGGTGTACCTGTTCAGCCATGTCAAAGGCAGGAAGCACCAGCAGGCCGTGCGAGAGAGCAGCAGCATCCAGGGGCGGGAGCTCTCAGACGAGGAGGTGGTGAGTTGCACCTTGTTTTTGTTTTTCTTAATCCTCACCCGAGGACACTTCTTTCCATATTTTATTCAGATAGAGTGGGACGGAGGGAGAGAAACATCGACGTGAAAGGGACACATCGAGTGGCTGCCACCTGCATGACCCAACCAGGGCCGGGGACAGACTGCAACCGAGGTACATGCCCTTAGTAGGAACCGAACCCGGGTCTCTCTGGACTGCAGACCGACACTCTAACCGCTGAGCCAAACCGACCAAACCTTTAAAAAAAATTTTTTTTTCTTTATTGATTTTAGAGAGAAGAGAGGAAGGTAGAGGGAGAGCAAGATAGAAACATCAATGAGAGAGAACATCGATTGGCTGCCTCCTGCATGCCCCCACTGGGGATTTGTCCCACAACATGGGTATGTGCCCTGACCAGGAATCGAACCGGTGACCTTTTGGTGCAGGGTCGACACTCAAACACTGAGCCACACCAGCCGGGCAGGTTTCCCTTTTCATTCACACATTTGTAGACAGGCTTTGTTGGCTATTTTCAATGTCCTCAAATAGATGTTTTGGATATTTCTGCAAATTTTGGAGTTAAAAGATTAATCCAGTATCAGTGAGTTCAGTATCAGTGAGTTCACTGTGGCTGGACTTGGAGCCTCCTGAAGTCTAACTCCTGGATAGTCATTGTCTGACGGAGCACTTGACATGCAGTAAGATTTTCAATACGAACTCATTGAGTTGCATTGAACTGATAGGTTATACAGATCGATTTCAGGTATTGTTAATAAAGGTGAAATAAAAAATAGAATTAGTCATTTATTTTGTTTACCTCAAATGATTTTTTGCCTTTTACATGCAAGTTGCCTTTGCCCTGCACGGTCTGGGTGTTTGGAGCGTGTGGGTCTTTCCCTGTGGAGTCATCCGTGTCCTGTCTCCATTCCTGCTCACGGGGCTGCTCAGAGCTGGAGTGCACGTGTGAGCCGCTTTGAGGGACCCTGCATGGCTCCGTTCATTAGAATGTAGTTCTCCCCATGGTAGAGGAGGGTCCTCCGTCTATAAAAATACCTATAATTAAGTTCTTTTTTATTTTCACTTTCACGTTTCAGTGACAGTTCATGTTCAGTGTGATTTTGTATCAGTCTCAGATGTGCAGCATAGTGGTTAGAGGAGCATCTACTGCGCATACTGTTCTCCCTGATCTTCCCAGCACCCCAGCACCACACATAGCGATGCCGCCCTGCTGGGCATTGGCTTCCTTGGCTGTCAGGCGGGTGCAGTGAGGGAAGTCATGTCCACGGTCACGCAGTGGGTCCAGGAGCCTTTTCAGACCTCAGCAAGCTCCTGGGAAAGTTTGAGAACATGGACCCCCGTGCCGAAGGTTTTCAGAAATAGAGAGGGGTGCTTGTGGTGTATTATCTGCTTATAAGCACACCGATGATAAAAAAAAAAAAAGGAACAAACCAAGCAAATCACCTTGGTTATAGTTCTGAAAGAGCGCAGCCTCCTCAAACAGAGCCCAGGCAGGTCCTTGAGGGGGTGTCCTGGAGATGAGTGATCATAGGCAACCTTCCAGGGGACAGACATGCCGGTGGGGACGGGACACAGACGGTCCTGACCCTGTGCCTTCGTGTGTCTTAGTGTTAACAAAAACATTTAAAGTACAAAAGAAATTGAAATAGAAAGAAAATCTTATAAAATACGGATATAAAGAAAGAAAGACTCTTCACAGCTGTTCAGTGTGTTTGTGTTCTAAGCTAAGTGTTATTACAGAAGAGTTGAGAAGATAAAAAAAAATTTTAAGTTTTTAAAGTACAAAAGCTACAGAAGCCCTGGCCGGTTTGGCTCATTGGTTAAGATGTCGGTCAATGGACCAATGAGTTGTGGGTTCGATTCCAGTCAAGGGCATGTACCTCGGTTGCATTTCATCCCAGGCCCTGGTCGGAGTCATGCGGGAGGCAACTAGTTGATGTGTCCCTTTCACATTGATGTTTCTCTCTCTCTCCCTCCCTCCCTCCCTCCCGCTCTGAGGATAAATGGAAAAAAAAAAATCCTCGGGTGAAGATTTAAAAAAAAAAAGAAAGCTAAGATTAATTTACTATGGAAGAAAGATAATTAAAAAAATAAATTTAGTGTAGGCCAAGTGTACAGCATGTCCTAGCTTCACACTCCCTCACCGCTCACCCTGACACCCAGAGCATCTTCCAGTCCTGCGTACGCTCCGTTCATGGTGAGTGCCCTGGACGGCATGCCGTTCTTCTATTTCGTGCCCCATTTTCACTGCCCCGGTCCATGTTTAGATGCACAAATACTTGCCCTTGTGCTACAGTTGCCTCCAGTAGTCAAGACAGTAGCCTGTGTCCCAGCGGTAGCCCGGCAGCTGTAGGTTGGTCCACACAGCCCGGTGGCATCGCTGAAAGGGACCCTGTGATGCTCACACAGCGGGGAGATCAACTCGCACCGCATTTCTCAGAGGGGGTCACCACTGTCACTTTTCAGCTACAGCCCGAACATGGCGTGCAGTGGGGCACATGGCTCCTTGGTACCAAAAGGCAATTTTGTATTTCTCACTAGGAAGTTCCATTTTTAATCAGTGACGGTATCTATAGTGAACACACTTGTTCTACTTAAAGTTATTACTTGTCATGTGTGATGTCTTTATGTTATGTACATCTGGTCTGTGACCCTACTTCTGTGACACACGAGACTTATTTATACCACCTCTGACCTAATGAAAGTGTACCTTTGACCTTATGCATCTGACATATCAGATAACTTACTCTTGATCTTTGACACATTTTGTTTTAAGCTTGTTAAACATAATAGGTAGCTGCCTGGCCAGAAAGGTTTGGTGTTTCTTGTTTTTATTTTAATTTGACCAGGAAATTTTTTATGTTTCTTGAGCCTTCACAAAAAGAGCTGTTAGAGGTTTGATTTGTTTTTCTCTTCCATCATCTTAGAATCCAGATGATAAAAGTTTTGATTTTTTAAAGGTCAAGACAAATGGGTGCTAGTTTAAAGACATCCCTAAATTTAATGTGTGTGTGTGTGAGCGCACGCACGTGCGCATGCATTGCCAGGGAGGTGATGAAGTTTGTCTTAAATAAAACTCAGGTTTCTTTGTAGTGGTCTTTGATTCATCTAAGGAAGCTGATAATGATTTTTGTGGGAGTTGTGTGAAGTACATTTAATCCTATATAAAGAATAAAGTAAAAAAGTTTTTATTTTGAATTTACGTATTTCTGTTTGTTAGAGCCCTTGGCTTTAAAAGCACGTAAACTGTCGTGCTCTGTTTGTTGGCTGACGTGTGTCTGGCCCTGAGGAGCAGGATGTCAGAGCATCTCCCAGAGATGGTGCTGTCTGGAAGGTCGTTGGTGATTCCTAGCAGATCATTCCTGTCCTCACTGCGCCTGCCTTTGTTAGCGGAAGCAGAAGCATGCACTCTGGTTATCATCATATTAAGAAGATACCCTGTTTGCTTTTCAACAGAAATGAAGCCAAGTGAAACGGCTAGGACTCCTTAAGAATGAATCCTTTTTCCCCAGTACCTCAGTAGGTTACATTTTAAGTGAGTTTGAGAAATAATCTAGGAAGTCTTACCCTTTCTTACAGGCCGAAGTGTCCATTGCTCTCATCTTCTCTTTCATGGGGTCCCTGGGGATGTTTGAAGTCGTGAGAGGGGGAGAACTGCATGTGTGTTCTGCCTCAGTGCACACACACAGCTGCTTGTCACTGATACGTTTCTTCCAGGTTTGGGATTCTTACGGTGGGAAATCCACTCACAGTGTAAGTAGGATGTCCATGGCTGACAGTCTCCTTCACTGGATCCAGAAAAAAGTTTTAACTAGGTGACATTTGTTCTGAACTGTAATTTGGTCCAGTAATTGACAAAGGTTCTCTAGGTGGTGGGCAGCCTCTTGAATAACCAGTCTCCGTCCCCAGCCACGTGCTCGTCCCCTTCTGATGCCGTGTGTGTGCTGGAGGGGGAGTATGGGCTCCGGGACCTCCCGTGAGGAGGGGGCTCCCTCTTACTGGATACATGGAGGGGAACTGTGTATCCTGACTCCAGCCCAGCATCTGATGTGCAGCTGGCAGTTTTAGAAACAGGCAAGGGGAGACCAGGAGCCATTTCTTTCCTTCTGGCTCCATCAACTCTGTGATGAGCAGAGGGTGTCCTAAGATAAAAGGCAAGGGGAGACCTGGATGTGAATTTTCCACCCTGGTCTAGGCTCTGTGTGTGAGGTAGAGGGTTCCCTGGGACAAGTGTTTGAGAACTAGAGGGAAGCCTTGGTGTGGGGACCCCTCAGTCAGTGGGAGTTCTGTGAGCACTTCCTTCAGGGTGTTTTCAAGTCCCACTTCCTCAGGCCAGACTCCTGGGGAGAGGCCTCCAGGTCCCAGTGGGCCTGCTTTTGGTGACCAACTCCCAGGACAGGATTCCAGACTGAACTACTTCCAAATAGACAAATAAATGGAACAGAATGGAAGGTGCACTCATACACCCAAATCCAAGGTGAATTTTGTACGATAACATGGCCTCGTCAGATCATCAGAGAAAATATGCATCATGTAATAAACGGTGTTGGGACGTGAGGGAGGCCGCAGGTCACAGATGAAAGGCCAGCAGCAGGGTGCTGTCCTGAGTGGAGAGGCCGGGCTAGGTGGGAGCAGAGGGCGGGTCCAGACTTGAGGGAGATTTGGGCGGAAGTTAGGTGAGTGGCCTTGCTGTGCACTGGAAGCAGAAAGCCCACCATGATGTGCGTGCAGAGGGAATGGAGGCGAGAGGCGGGCTTCACCTGAGGGGCCGGAGGTGTGAATGTGAGGAGAGGAGGGGCCCCCTTGAGCCTAGACGGGTGCTGGCGGCTGCAGACACGAGGCCTGAGGTGGCCTGGCAGCCACTTGGCCAGGTCCTGAGGTGTGAGGGGCAGCGGGGACCTGAGGGGGGTGGGAGTGAGGTGAGGGGCAGTGGGCAGCTCGCACGGTGGGGCCACAGGTGAGGCAGCCCCATTTCGGTCATTTCT